GCCAAAAGCCGGCTCTTAGCCTTTAGGACCTTGTGAATCTGAATAAGAATTTCTAAAACGAAAACGCTCGATTTTACCTCTGGTAAATACTTCCAAGCATTAGTAGTAAAAACTTCAGCTCGATCGAACAAAGTTAGAAGGGGATCATTAGCGACCAGAATAAGAAAATTGTGGTTTTGCGATACGCTAAGGAAAAGAAAAATGTTTCTTTAATTCAGTAACTATGGAACAGTAAGATGTTTACACCCGAATAATGTATCCAATTACACACAACACCTGAGGTCATGATATCTTGTGCTAAACTCAAAATCGAATTTTCGATCGAAAAATAGGGGACGTGCTCTTAAATTGGATGGTTGATGAGTTTTCAACCAGGCAAGTGCAGATTAATAATCAAGTGTCATGAGCCGATCTAGCATTCATCGATGTTTTCAGACAATATTCTAAGCCAACGTTTTCGCTATTCCAAAAACAAAGAATAGAAACCGATCATTTTGTTATCATAGCCTTGTTAAATGAATAAACACGGGTATCGATGTGAGGTTAGTTTACTCTAAATTGACAGCCACCCTTCATCCACATTTACACTTAAAACTCTTCCACTAGTATATACTAGCTTCCGTGTTAATATTAAAGTGTTGATTTTTCAAAATAATAAAATATTAGGGAATCAACAGAATGGTCATGATACGACTTATTCATAACTGAATGACAAGGTTCTATATATTTGCAGAGATTTATCATCAACACCGAAGTTTTGATCGTTCTTAATGTTTATTTGTGCTGCTATCAGTTGAAGAAACAATAATTGAACGCTATGATAGGCATTTAAACCAATTGAAATTCAGTGATGAGCTAGTAGCTTCGAAAGCTTTTCCATCCTTATTAAATGAAAAAAAAACTATCTAAAACTTATCTACAAATGTTCACAGAATTATCATTCAAATCTTAAAAAATTTCTCTCATACAATACTGATTGTATTGCATGTCCATTGATACGTCGCCTTCAATGATAATGTGACACATAATATTTGCTTGATAATATAAGCACAATTATTTCTATATTTTTATTGAATAAAGCGTTTATAACTGATTCTTCAGCTAGAATAATCCACATCAGTAAAGGATCAAATATATTGATTGAAATCGAGGAAAAATATTAAATATGTTTTGTTGAAAATCCTATTGTTGAATGTCTGCGAATGTATAAAAATAATATTAAGAATTTCAAAAATAACAATGTTCACATAAATAGTAAATTATTAGTTTTCGTCTCACTTAAATGAACAAAATTTTTATATTATACTTTTTAAAATAAATTCTTGTTTAAAACCAATTGTAATTCATAAGAATCAAAACAAGAAAGGTAAATTAAACACCTCTTATCATAAGGAGTCAAAATAAGTGATGTAGGTGTGGTTGTTAATAAAGCGAGGGCTCACACTCAAGTTACATGTATATATATATATAAGGATAAATGTTCAATATAAATAAAATTATTTTATATGACGAAGGAATGATTATCGAAATATAATCATAAATAAATAATGTCAATGCATCAATATCATCACAAATGAGTTTTGTTTCTCAAATAATTTTATTGATTGACAATCAATAGTTAATTATGAGGTCAATCTCTCAAGATGCTAAACTTTCTACTTTTTTATACTTCGAACGAAAACTAAATTAATTTTCTTGTCTTCGAATATAACACAATCTGTAGAACGAGGCATGCTGTGAGCTATTTTGCATATAGAAGAATATCGTTTGCTTTGATTGATGTCATTCAATTTTGAAAGTCACACATTTATTTGGTTTTGTTCCTATTTACATTTCGAGGAAGAAAAAAGCTCAAAAGAACAAAATCTAAAATAAATATCAATGAGCAGTGTCGCTGTGAATTTGTGTCAAGATAGCTTTTGTGACGTTAGTTGTTAGTTCCATATCCATTACGCACTGCACATGAGTATAATCTGTGCGAAAAATAAAACCAGCATTATCAGAACTGTAAACAAAAACCTGTTGATTATCATACCATCATTGACGAATTTCTTCTCTAGTGAGACCACCGTGAGGTCGTTTTTTGGTCCACTGCAATGCACTTATAACTAACAAAGGTGTATCTCTACGAATTGTAGCATCGTTCTGTGGCTTTGACATATAATTCGTGATGCAATGCAGGTGGCGAAATTGACTTTCAAGCTTTTGTAACATAGCTGCCCCCATGAAGAGAGCTTTGTAACCTGGGTGCGAACGACGAAAGATATCGTCGACCTCGCCACTTGTGAAATAATTTGACAAGAGTGAAAATATTCTCAACAAGTCCCAAGAAGCGACACGGACCATTATTCCAAATAAGAAACATGCATGGTTATAATCCGTTACCATTGGACTTTGTCGTTCAAATACGTTTGGCGGTGTTGGATCAAACAAAATAATACCCGTAACATCTTCTGGATACGTCAAACGATAGAGATGCGCCAGTAATCTTCCAGTTGATGCACCGAAAAGAATAAATGGTTTTCGAAGTGTGGACTTTTCAACTACTTGTCGTAACAATAAGAGTTCACTTTCTACATTTTCTGTATTCCAATCATCAGAAGGTTCAGAAGCACCATGTCCAAGAGGCTCGAATGCAACTATTTCAACGGACCCACCCATATATTCGACGAATTTCAAAAGCAGTGGTTTGAGAAAGTACATGCTGATAGCTATGCCGCTAACATAGACAATTGGTGGAAGTTTTGACTCTGGTGCACGAAGATGTAAAACGTGTATAAGTTTATTATTAGGATTCCAAGGTTTCATCTCTTCGATTGGTGGATAATTTTGTTTTCGATCGCGAGCCTCGGCATATCGTTCATAGAACCATCCAAATCCAGGAAGAATCCATAGAAGAAGAAACAAAGTAAATACGATCAGAATAGAAGGTAAAAGTACAATAAACAATAATCCGATCAATAAAGAAGTATAAAATGATGAATATGCTGTTGCTTTTACTCGAGAAGAATTGGGTGTTCGCAGAACAAGATTGTCATACCATTTAAATTTCTTGTAGATTTCTTTATATTTTTAATTTGAAGGATTAATATTTGGTTCTTCAAGTTGATTGAGATCACTATTATTGTTTCTGTTTAATGATGTTTCATCGTTCTCAAATGATGACATGATATAAATCAAATATGTATTTTGACTCGATTACTGTAGTACATTACCACAATATTGATGGTTATTTCATTGGTTACCTTGTCGGAACTGATAAATAGAAAAGTTTTATAGAGAAAGTACATAGTTGGACAAAATAACAAGGGAAATTACCAGCTTCTTCCCTCCGCTGTTTATCAGTACTTGTCAATGATACTATAGTGCCTTTCTAATCGAGACCTATTATGTTAAACAAAAGTGAATCAATGTGAATAAAATTGATTTCTGCAGATTATTTATAAAATGAATAAATTTCATTTTCTATGGACAGCAATCGATTTGCTCCAAAAAGTGCAAATAAATGAATTTCATCCAATTATACAAGATGCTTGAGGTACACAAAAAATTTTAAGAATTGAAGCGATATCTTTTCTCGTTTGTTTTCTCGATGGCCGATGCATCAAAGAGGTTAATGCTCATTCACGTGTATGAGAAAGATAAAGAAAAATATCTCTGAAGTGATATTTTTTATCGTATGGTTATGCATAGAAATTTCTGTATATCATATAATGACACAATCCTTCTCGAATGAGTATAGTTTTTATCGAGGCGGTAAGAAAAGACAAAACTTTTCTTCAAGTAAATCTTCTTTTTCAAGAAAAAACAAAAAAATAATAATAAAAATTTGATGTTAATCATTGATATGAACAATAAATCTTAAAAATAAAAAGAGAAAAAGTACTATATATAAAGTATTTTTCTCGTACTTGACATTGTTGTTCATTGTTAAAATTATGTCTTTAATACAATCGATAAAACTATTATTCTTTGATAAAAAACTACTTGAACATATTCATTTAGGACACCACAACGAAAGTGATACAACTAAAGTAACATTTGTTAAAAGATATCGTCTCAAATTTTTGTATTCTACCTACATTGTTATCAATGATTATAGAATATTCATTTTTCCAATAACATGATTACAGCAACCTATTGTTAAGTCTTCTTTCACTTGTTGTAATTCACCTACGAAGAAAAGAATTTAAATCATTCTTTTTTTAGAATTATATATGATTCTTTACCACTTTGATGCTGCAAATCTTTATCTTCGTTTATCTTTGTTAAATTATTCATTTAGTTGGTGAATTTAAATTCAGATAATTGCCTAAATTCTCTTTAACATCACCTAAATGTTTTATACTAGCTTCAAATTCAATGTGACATTTATTACACAAACTTTTATTTTGTTGTGGAGGGAGGCGATTATCACGTATAATATACATTATGGCTTGGTAATGTTATGATTTATGTGATCACTCAGCTTTTTATTTATAAATGATCGATCTAATCTGATAAATACAAATCCTAGAAATACATCTATTGCAAGTTATTGGTTTTTTGTGTAAGTCGTCGAGCAACTTTAGTTGCTTTGTTCACTACAAGGATTCAAATATTTATAAAATTCATTCAGCACACTACGTACTTTGAAATTCACAGCTTCTTTCGTCTTTTTAAACATAATTTACGACTAATACAGATAAGAACCATGACCTCACAGTTTGTTTTAGTCTGCTTTTTTGTCTTTTTACAGATTATTTTATTTCCGATTCTTTTAACAATCACATTAATGCATTGCGAAAATATGAATGTAAGTGTGAATGGATGCACAAGACAGTGTGGGTCTTCTCTTCAACTACAATAGTACATGCACACTTCATTCACACCTGAATGTGCATCCAAACCCACAGCTACAGTCAATGTTCAAAGTTACAAAGAAACCTTCAAATACACCAAACTAAGTTATTTTTTGATTCTTATTGAAATTTTATTCTTTATTGTGCAATTTAATGAGTTCAATTCTTTTCAGTAAGTCGACGAATGTTATTTTCGGTTTTCTGTCGAAATGCATGGTCAACAGGAAGAAACTTGTCATAAATAGTCAATGCTTGTTGATAATAGTCAAGTGCCATTTTTCGTTTCTCCTGTGCTTCATAACAAATGCCTATATTGTTCAAACTGGAGCCAATATCGATATGACCAGATGGATAAAATTTCTCCCGAATTTTCAGTGCTCGTTGATGATAATCAAGAGCTTCATCGTACTTTCTTTGTCCATATAAAATAACACCAATGTTGTTGAGACTATGAGCAATATCGGCATGGCCAAATGGATAGAACTTCTCTTGAATTTTCAGCGCTCGTTGATAACAGTCGAGTGCTTCATCGTACTTTCTTTGTTGATAGAGAATAACACCAATGTTACTGAGACTTGTAGCATTATTGGCATGACCAGATGGATAAAATTTCTCTTGAATTTCTAGTGCCCGTTGATAATAGTCGAGAGCTTCATCGTATTTTCGTTGATCGGAAAGAATAGCACCAATGTTGTTGAGAACATGAGCAGAATCTTTGATTCTTGCCGGTTTTTTCTTCATCATTCGATCATATGCACGATCATAATATTTTCGAGCTTTGTCCCATTGACCTTTAAGATCAAAAGCTCGACCAATATTAAATTCAATCCAAGCTTGATCTTCCTCATTCGAATCATTAAATAAGTGTTGAAAATATTTAATTGATTTGTTATATTGACCTAAATTGCACATTAATCTTCCAAAAACAATCGAAACATGTAATTCATCTGTATCTTTTTGCATTAATTCAATAAAGTCTTTCATAATTTTTTTTCCTTCATTTGAAAGATTCATTTTAATTATTTTCAATGATTCTTGTTCTTGAATAGATTCAATTTGAAAACAAGCATTTAAACCAAATAAAACTTCTTGTTCATTTGGATATTCACTGAATTGAGAAATATCACCAAAAATAATACTTTTATCAATTAATTTACTATCGAATTGAATATGAAAAAGAACGGAAATGTTATCAATTATTTTTCTTGATTTCTTTGCAAAACTAAGTGCTCGTGATTTTCGTCGAGTAGCCAAAAAATATCCATTAGTGGAAATAAGCTTCCCTTGATTCTTTTTTAATTTCTTGAATTCTTCTTTGTCAAGTTGAACTCCTCTATAAACATTTATAATATTTTCGCTTGATGATAAAATTTTTGCATGTTGAAGTTGAAGATTTTGAGAAAGATCACGAATGAAAAATTGAAATTGATATAAAAAATCAATATCGTCAGTTCTTAATGCTTTACTAATTAATTTATTAACAAATGATTGTTTTAAATACCATCGAATTGCATCTTCTGGTCGATAATACTGTTCAAATTCATTAATGAGTTCTATTTCTTTTGTATTTCCACGGTAATATTCTTTACATAATTGAATTATTTGTTGTTTTGCTTGTTGATTTTGTGGAAGACGAGTAAAAACATAATTAAATAATTGAAACCATAGAAATTTTGCTGGTTCTTTCGGTAAATCTTTAACTAATGTTTGATGTTGATCAAAAAGACAAAATTTTTCTATTTGCTTATTAACAAGATCAATTTGTTCTTTTATTGATTCATATAAATCATGAAGATTAGTGTAAATTCCAATTATATTTGAATATTCATTTAATAAATATTCATATCGTTCTTTTTTCGTTGAAAAGATAAAAATCGAATCAATTTGATGAAAAGAAGAAGTTCGAGGTAAAATTTGTGATGCTTTTGCTCCTGATGTTATTAAAAAGATTTTTTCTTTATCAATTGATTCCATTAATCTAATACATTGTTCAAGATCAGTAGAAAAAATAACATAATCATTAATAAGACGAAGTTGTTCTTTTGTTTGTTCAATGTCTTCACGTGGTCTGATATTTGGATCAAACCAAATAAGTGTTGTGCTTTCTTTATTTTTATTATTGTTTGTACCAACAGATTGGTTGTTTTCTTTATTTAGAATTGGTGATCTGGAGGCCATATAAATTCAAATGGAATTTTATTTTGATAAGGCGAATATCTCTGTTACAAACAAAAAATAAATGTAGATCTATTTTATAAAGAATTGCCTTGAAAAACAAACCCGAAGTTCGAAATAAATTATCTTATAATATCAACACGCAAATAGTGGTTCCTTAGTTTGTGTTCTTATCTTTTCGCTGTTACACTGTCGGTTAAATATTTTATCTTTTCATTGTTTTATTAGTAAGTTAATATTACAAGCAAGTATCTCTATCACTCGGAGAAGACGAAATGCAATCTAAAGACTATAAATATTTTCGTTTCTTTTTGTTCACAAATCCTTTGATGACGCAAAACGTGAGTAGTCACGATAATGAAGAATTTATTCAGTTTAATAACATTCAAGAAGAATCAAAATACAATACTTTCTAGAAGTTATTTTTAAAATTTCATTTGTGATGAAAAAATTTTGCAAACTCAGATGAAATTGTTTAGGACTTTTGTTGTTTTGTATACTTGCTACATATTCTGATAATCAATATTAGACTGAAAAGAATTATTCACCTTCTATAGCAAAGCCATCAAGTTTTCTTATGAGTTCTTTTCGATGTCTGATACAATGTTGAAAACATTATATTGTACTGCGAAGTGATGATCGCAAGAAAGTGGCAAAGGTAGTCACAGTCAAAATTTTGTTTGATGGGCAATTCAGCCACTAGCATCGTCCTTTCTTAATAACTGCTAAGTGGTTGTGTCTAACGATAGCTGGAAAAACTTTTTTTCCACATATTTTTCTTTTCTCTATGATAACTCTGAAAAAATAGTGGCTCGTTTCTGAACACTTACCTAAGAACAACAACATAATCTTGAATATATCACGAAAGAATACTTGATTAGATAAGATGTAGGCGAACATATAAGTATATATACTTATAGGATGTTTGTTTCCGTCGTAACTTATTTTGTACTTAAATTTCTGAGAAGGACTGAAGTGCATAAGACTGCCAATGAACCGATTAGGAATTTCAAAAAGAAAAATTACTCAATCAGGTGTTAAAAGTGGTGCTGAGTCATTTGGTGATGCTTTCAAGTGACGCAAATATGATTTGCGTTGTTATAGATAATTACACGATGAACTAAACACACCCATAGGACGTAAATGCAATCTGAAAGATAAACAGACAGGGTGATGGATAGAAAACTCCAAGCACGTTTAAAATACGTAATAGGTTTTTAAAAATTTATTTTCATTATGATGGTATATTAAAAATACGAACAACAACCCTTTTTCGAGTAGTCAATATTTGGAGCTGAATTGTAGATATTGTTGTTAATATAATATAATAATAAAACTTCTTAACCTATCAGTTCATCTTCAATATCGAAGTCGAATTAGTTTTGAATGTTTATCTATGTCGCTATCAACTGAAGAATAAACAATTGAAGTTCATGATAGGGACCTAAACCAATTAAGATTTGGTGATGAACCGATAAGTTCAGAAGATTTAGTATCGTCATCATTATATTAACAATAATATCTAGTACATATTGCCTATTTGTTTCTAAATGAACAGGTGATGAATTGTAAGTTTCTGATTGATGCTTAAGAGTATCTTTATTAGATACAAGTCGAAGAACAATGGTTTGTACACCATCTATTTGTTAGTGTAAATCTAAATTTTAAATATCTAAATTAGTTTTTGCAAAGCTGATGATGCATACAATCATATCATGGTTCTAATTGTCGTTAAATATAAATGATGAAAGAAACATCAATATATGCTTTTGTTTCGTGATATATTCTATATGAATTATATTTCAAACATTGTAGTCAATAAAAACATAATCAAAGCGGACCGAATTCCACCTATACAGAAATTCATCACAAGTTGTACTAAGTAGGTGGTCTTGTTTATTGGAAAATAAATAAAAAGAAATTCGTAATGAATCGATAACTTTTTTCTTTCTTGCTTCGACTTCAGATTATTCAAATTCACATTAATTTTATCAGCAAATAATGCTAGTGAATGAGTCTTCCGTTAGAAAATTTTCTTGTAATGCTGCAAAGATGAGATATGATTAAAAAGAAAAATGTTATTGAACAAAAGACGTATCACCAAAATTAATTTCGTAGTCTGAGAGAAAGTATATGGTATAATCAATTTAAGATTTATTCTTCTGTAGTATCCTTTCGCTCGGATTAAATATCAATGTGCTATATTATATCGAAAGATATATTTAAGAATTTAACTAATTTAATGAGAAAATATCATCAATCGTTAAATGTTGTTTGAGTTTATATTTTTGCTACGGATGGATATCTATGAGACAAAAAAAAAGACGAAAATATTTTGAGTTCATAGTCTCTCTGTGTCGAAATCTGATTTGATCATGATGATATTGTTCGTGTATTATTTTCAAGATGATGTAAGATTCTAATATTTGTGAAAAAGACGACAATGCAGAATAGTGAAGAAGTCGAATCTTATTATAAAAAAGAGATGAAATTTGATAATAATACAAGCATAGATGATAAATGTCTAATTTACTTATAGCACTTGGTCAGAAATCATATAAGTTAATAGATTCTAACATGGTCATATCATATTTATTTGACTAGTTTATAAGTAAATGTATGAACAAGAATTTTATTTCGATTCGTCTCATTGATACTATTATACTTGTCTTCAGACTACACATACCAACAAAAAATTATCACAAAAAAACAACAACAAACATAACGATAGCAATAAACATTTCCAAAGAAAACGTATTTTTTTAGAATAATAATAATAATAGTTGCTGCTTTTCTCTTTTCTTTTGTGTTCAGAGAGAATGAAAAGAAGACTGATGCCGTGAACAATAACAAAACGCTACACGGAATATTTATCGATGATAGAACATCACAAAAAGAAGTGCTGCAATGATACAATTAAGTTATTTTCATGATATTACTGTTTACTTTTTCTTAGATAATATATATACATTACTTTTTTTGTGTAAATCGGATTATGCTTTTTGAAGAAAAATATTGGGAACGTAAGTTTTAAGTCGAGTTTCTGCAGCTTTTGCCTCTCTACACACCTTTGCAACCGGAATCAAAGATCATTGGACAGGTTTTCGTAGCAACTGAGGACAACAAGTGTCAAACTTTTCCGTCATAGTACCTTGGCAGCGAAAACAACAATGCTAAGGATGATGAGTAATGCTACATTAATTTGCTACAGTCATCGTAGGAGCCATATAAAACGTATGACAGTGATCAAGTTATGACTTTGAGAAATAATCAATATCAATATTTTTGAGCTTATCAAAGTATATAATAGTGTGTTGAGACTTGCTCTAGATATAATGCATATTTACACAAGCTTGTTTGTCAGTTAAATTAATGGTTACAACAATAATAAGAATCATGTTGAATTAAGAAAAACAGAATAGGAAAAAAAGGTAAACAAAAATAGTGTCAATAGAAAAAAAAACATTTCTGTTCGATATACAGTAATACAAAAGACAAGTGGTTTTTCTTACGATCGATAATACTTAGAAAACAATTATTTGCTCTTAGAGATTTTTCACTCGATGTATTTTATAATACTATAATGAGCTTAGAAAGAAAACATGTGAATTTTAGATTCTAGTCTTAAATAGGATTGTGCTATTTTTCGTTATTGTCGAATTTTCGCTTGCGAGAGGCCATTCTCTGACTTCATATATATGTGCATGATACTTTTGAAAAGTCTAAAATGATTGGCATACGTTTTCGAAGCAATTCATTTTTCGTTTAGCAAGAAATTTTGATAACGGTTGGACATGATTTTAGAGTTTTCATAATTGCCAAACTTGACAGTAGTGTCTTTAATTTTTCTATAATGTTTTATGTATTAGGTCTGAAAGTTATGGTTTTCAGTTTTGATTAACTTTAACTTTATGAATAAAAACATAGCAGTTTCTTGTATTATCATAAAAAGATACTTGATTAAATTAAACCATGGTGGAGATGTATAGTTTTCTTTTTTAATAGTTGACTTATCTGACACTGTAGAAGATGATATAGTATTAGTAGATTTGCTATGTTCTTTTATACTCTCAAATTTTACTACACAAACAATTAAAAAAAAGATAACAAAATCAACATATATATTTTCTATAAATATGCATCACAAACTAATACAATCTAATCAGTTTTATTTGATTACAATATATGATCATGTTTGTATTTATATAGCTGCTGGTTAGCGTAGAGGTCTAACAGTTCGTTTTCGTATAAATACTAAGCTTCGTAAACGAGGATTGGTAACAATCATTACTACATTCATTAAAAGTGTACTTATTGAGTACGACAATAGTTGCAGACGATAAGACATTGAATGAAAATAATTTGTAAAGAAATATACTGCCCAAACGATAGCATTTAGCATGCCTATACTGCTCATAGTTAGAACAGTATAAAATATACTCTTGACTACTGCAATTTCTCGATTAGCATTCTGTACATTTGAATGATGAAGAAAAACAACAAGACGAAAATAAACTAGAGTAACAAATCCGAATTGAATAATAAATGTCGATAAAAATATGTAAATCATGCCTGGTAGATTTGTAAAAGCTATTAAACAATAATTTTCGTTTGGAAGATAGACTAAGAAATTTTCAATAATAAGATATGGACACATGAGAAGACAAGCTAATAGCCAACTAAAGATAACAGCCAATAAATGAAATTTGAATGTTCGAAGCCAAACATGTTGACGATACACAATATGAATTAATCTTGAAGCAGCTTGAAGACAATAACCATTAAAACTTGCTGAAGCAGTAACACAAACAAAATATGCTTGTAATCGACATATTACTGAATCACTATTATATCCAATACTAAAATCAAGTTTTAGTGTTCGTATAGTCAACGAAAATAACGATAATGAAAGTAGAGAAATAGCAAAGCATGTTGTAGCATAGATAAAGAATTCAAGATTTTGTCGATATCGTCGTTGTAAAAGAATAAGTAGACACGACATTATTGCTATTATACTTGTAAATATTGATAAAAAAAATCCAAGCATATTCAAAATAACGGCATCCATGATAAATGATAGCATTAATTGTTGTAATGCACCAAAATATAAAAGTTCAAAATATAAAGAGTATACTCTATAACTTCCATTGAAAAAAATAGATGCACACATTAAGTGATTTATAATGCGGAAACAGATAAATAGACATCATGAGAAGACGCTGTGCACTCAAGACTGGAACTCATCATAATATAATAATTACTTAGAATAGTTATTTTTATCATTTGTCATTTATTTTAAAATAGAATAATAAAAGACAATGATGACATCAACAAATCAACTCTGTACTGTATGCTCCGTTTTTGTTTTTAGTTAAACATCATAAAATTATCGGGTGATCCATAAAATTTGACCCGTTTTTTACTTTCTTCAATAGTACACTGTGAAATTTTTTTGCACCGTCACGCGACAGAGCATTTATTTCTCCAAGAAGAAGTCTTCTTTTCAATATAAAATTAAAAAGATGAACATCTACCGAATAACCTATGTGCGACAATAAAAAAACAATAATAGAAATTTTTTAACAAACATATAATTGAAAGTAAAAGATATGCCGTACTATTCCACGTGAAATTCTTCATCGTTTATTTTTTTTCGTGAACTTGAAAATAAATACTATCTGAGAAAATGTTTCGGAATAGGCAAAGTGAAAATGAGGAAAGGGTAGGTATAACTGTTGGTATAGCTGTTTTCTTTGTTAACGCCCACACTTTTTATATTAAAGTAATATTAGCTTATTATTGAATGAAAATGGTATAGCAGTGTCCTACGACCTTGGGAAAAATCTATGAAAGTGTCCATAATGGTAATTTTTATGCTTCTCTTTCTTCTAGTAACAGACCAAAAACCATCACTGTTTGGTTGATGCTCAACCTAGCCCAGCCTTGCGTACACCATTAGCTTCTAAAGAGCTAGAGAACTCATTTGGAATAAACTTCCAACTGAAAACTTGACTACTCATCAGATGAAGACATAGAATTGATATATATGGTCATAAACTTGTTTGCCGGAAATATATATACATATTGTTAAGTAACAACGACGATAATAATATCACTCAGTACAGAAGAAAAGATATCACTTTACAACAAAAGGTTAAAGATTTTTCTTTCTGAATCAATTCTGAAATTTGATGACCGATCCTAGATTTTGTCAACATTTGTTTCAACAAGCCAATGCGCTGTTCTTGAAAATTGTATTTAGATCAGAGTTGCTACCCTGTCTCATAATTACATTTTTGAAATCAAATATTGACGTGTCATCTTACTATTCGAGAATACCTTGACAATAGATTCGAATCCAGCGACAAATGTTTGAACCGAACGTCAATTTTGTGTTGTAGGATTTAAATTGATTGACAGAAGAACTTGTTTGAATCCAAAACAATTGGATAGAAAATTTTTTACTTGTGCTATTAACAAAATTGACTGTCAAATGTAAATAAATCAAATATTTCTTTTTCATCGCTTCATTTCGCTCAATCGCGGTATAGTCTGTCTTATATTCTTTACCAAAGAAAAAAATATATATTTGTACAAAAAAAAAAAAAAAGAAAACCAAGAAACAAGAAAAACAGAAATACAATACATATCATGTGCAGTTATCAACAAATGGACTAATTTTTAATCTTGATTGTTCGATTAATTTTACATTAAAATTATTATTTTTTCTTCTTTTTTTTTTTTTTTTTACTTGCAACATATTTTTCACATGAATGAACAGTATTGAGTCAATATATATATATATATCAGACGGAAGAGCTCATCATCATAATAATTACAAGAGAATGAACATATAAAAATTGAATTTAAAATAATCATTGTTCATTACTGAAGAAAAAATTCTTATTATCTAATTCATCCATTTTCTACAATTAACTGCACCACATAAACATGGAATTTTAGAATCTTCTTCAAAATTAAATTTATAATCATACATTATTTCTTCACCTTTAAGAATACGTCGATTTGTAATGATTATTATTTTATTATCTTTTTCAATTTGTACGACTTCAGTTATTGCATTAGGCTATGTTAAAATAATATTTAAAAAGAAAAAGAAAAATATAATAAATATTCGAATATTTATCATTGTTCTTTTTACCTCGCATGAATGATTTATATAACGAGCTAAACAACCACTCACTGTTGCATCAATTACATAATCATCATCTAATCGAAACATATAAATTCCACGATTTTGTTGTTCATATAATTTTTCTCGTTTATTAGCAACTTCATTACGAATTAATTCACCTATATACTCAATAATCATCGAATGTTTTTCAAGATTACGTGCTGCAAATAAGCCTAAACCCTAAAACATAAATAATTCTTTTAAAGATTATTCTTATTATTCAACAAATAAATTCAACATAATGTAATCAGTGAAAACAAAAGAGGATTAACTATGGATTTTTATTCAATTCAGACTCTTACATGTTAATAAAGCTGTAATTTTTTTATGAAATTTTATTCTGATTTGTAAAGCAAAGCTTTAGTGATATTATCAAAAGTTCTCATTTATTCTTTTTTTTTTGTGAAACACGATCGAAATTCAATGCCATGATATAGGAGTAGAAGTTTGGATCATTCACTTCCTCCTACAGGTGATGATCGACTAGTCGTCCACGCGATTCCGAGAAGATAGAAACCGTCGGTAAATTGTGTGGTAGAATATGCACTATACTGGTGATTAACTGCCGGTGGTACGAACAAATGTGCAGGGAATCAAAGTCTTCTGTGTGATGTAATTGAATATACGATAATTGTTCGTTGTCCTTCTTTTACGTGACTATGATATGTCAAAAGTATCATGGACATGAATAAACAGTTTGTTTGAATTCACAAACCAAGCAGTTTACAGAGTTCTTGGATTTACAGTACTGACAGGGTTCTCGTGTTTAGAGATCGACGTGATTACTGTAACCAATTTTTGTTTAGATCGGAACTTGATCTACATTTCTTTTCATTCAATCTTACAGATATTAATTCTACAGAGATACGCTAGTCAGTTTTTAATCTTATTTCAAAATTCAGGGATGACATAACAAGATTTCCTTGTTCTGATTTTGAATCCACTTAAAACTGTCTTTCAATGAAAAAAAATTTTAACGACAGAAGACTTTTTAAACTGATTTTAAGTTCCAAAAAGTTAACTTTCATTCACCCTACACATTGACTTACTTGAATTCGTGATTTAGCAAGATATATATTTTGACGCCATTCTGTTTTCAATTTTCTATATTGAGTCGATTTCGAATGTACAAAGTGTTTACCATATGGAATTTGATTAGCTATTTAAAAAAGAAAAGCAAATTTTACTTGATATATATATATATATATGAATTCTTTGTATCAATGATTTACTTTCAATTCCATATAAAGTGCGTTGTAAAGCATTTCGAGTTAAATGTGAACTTGTTAATGTTTGTACATGTCTAAATATAAAATTAAGAATAATTTATTTAAACAAATTTATAACTTATATACCGTCGAAAATGAGTTCGTAATTTTGGTTCACTTCGTGCACAACCTGTTGGATTAAGTGTTAATGGCATATCAAATAATTGTAATCGACCATATTTAAATGCATAATTTTGTAACATTTCAACACCGGGTAATGATTCAATTAGACGAATAATATGTGGTTCCTAAAATAATTCATTTTTCAAAATAATCAGACCGATTTAAAAAAGAAAATTATTTTACCGTTAATCCATATAAATCTTCACCTTTAACAAATCCAGGAAACATTTTAACAAGACCATGTTTTTGTCTTAATAAATCAATTTCATGAATAATTTTATACCAAACAGATTTTGCACTAGAATCTAGAAATTCTTCGACTTTTTCATTTTCATTTTCTTGTACACGTATTCGAAACATTGGTTTATTATCAATATCAATTATTGAACATATATATGCACAACGACGATTTGGATTATGCATTGACCAATAAAATCTTGTTATAGTATAACCAACCTAAAGATTTTTTTTTTAATATTGAAATATCAATGTCAAATGAAAAAAAAAACAATCATTCATACAGGATAAACAAAATTTCGATTATGAAATGTAGATGATTGTAATTGATGAGGTAATAATTGACCAATATTATGAAGTACAAGACTACCAATACGTAATATATATGTTTTATCGTCATGTTCTTCATTCATATAACTAAAACGAATAATATTTATCTTATTGTTTTTTTTTCACAGTATCAATAACTTGATAATGGTGGCAGCTAACAATCTGCAGATTGTAGCAATCGAAAGAGAAGAATTCCGATCGTTTTTCAATCTAATGGTATATTAGGCAAATTTATTCTAAAACTTATTATATTTTCAAAACATTTTTAAAAATCCATGAAATCGAACTAGAAAATTTCGACAAATTTCCTATGGATGCGGATTCCTAGATTCTGAAAGCCTGTGTGACTATTTTTATGAAATCCAGATATTTTCTTGAAAGGACTTCCACGACTGAAAAAAATCGTAATCAACTCAAAATCATCATAGTTTTATCATTATGTTACTCGTTAGTCTCTACGTACATGTCTAGACCAGTGCAAAACTGTACGTAAGATCGATGCATCGTCACCGTTACATTCCTAGTGAAAACGAACTTTCATTTCAAGGAAATTTGAGTTCATAGTCAGCAAATATGCTAAAAATCAAGAAATTCTTGTGTAACTTGACCGAATAGATATACGATTTAGTTTTCTCAATATAGAGATGTGAGAAAATAATCACTTGAATCTGGCCTTGAACTGCAGATCAGTAGTATGTCTAACTGAAGCATAGGTCAATTCGAAATTTCCTTGAAATGGAATTATGTTTTTCGTGCAGTTTTTTTGAACATTTTGCAAAGATGATAAGTTTTAAAACAATTTTGTCTTTTTTAGTAGCAGGTTAAAAAAAAATGCTCGGAGCTCTCCTATTTCGATTATACAAATATGTTGAATCTTGGCATAAGTATTATGATAAATCGCTTTTGAAATCGGTCTTAACTCATTAGACAAACTCGATTGAGACTAGAATAGTTAAAACATGACCATCTAGTTGCTAATATGCTTAGATTTAGATTCTCAATTAGACATACAATAGA